GTACGGTCTTTTTTTTTTTTTTAGTTTTATTCATTTCAAATGGGCTGGATCCGGCCAGCGGGCAGTAGTTTGCCCACAGCTGTCTTAGAGTCTCGCCCCTCCTTGTGAGGGTCAAAATGGCTGTGGAGGGATTTCTCTCCATTAACAGATTTGATGCCTTAAAACACACTATTTACATACAATTCTAGCCTCTGGCAGTGGTTCTCAACCTGTGGGTCACGACCCCTTTGGGGGTTGAATGACCCTTTCACAGGGGTCGCCTAAGACCATCGGAAAACACAATATAATTATATATTGTTTTTGTGATTAATCACTATGCTTTAATTATGTTCAATGTGTAACAGTGAAATCGGGGGTCACCAGAACATGAGGAACTGTATTAAAGGGTCGCGGCATTAGGAAGGTTGAGAACCACTGCTCTATGGCTTGGATTCCTCAGTTTCCCTGTGCAAACACAGCCCTGCTGTGTGGCCTGGTAAATCAGTAAGGGCCACGCCTCAGTTTCCTTATGTGGGAGACGGGGAGTGTAGGGTTGTTAAGGGGGTTAACAGGGAAGAAACGCTTAGAACTGGAACCAGCAGGTGGTAAAAAAGCTGTGCATTTTACTGTTGTCCTTGCCTCTGAGGTGAAAGGGACCCCAGACGCATGTGGGCGGAGTCCCTGACCTCAAGTGACGGGTTATTTTTATGATGTTAGAGCCGCAGGTTCAAGGGCAGGCGGAAGCCTGCGTCTGGGCCGCTGGAGCCGGCCACAGTGAGGTCAGCGAGTGTTTCTGGCCAGCCCTGCCCCCGCCTGGTGCTGTGGCCCCGGCTCCTATCTGGGCCGCCCCAGGTGCCAACCCCACTTCAAAGCAAGGCCCCTCCTATTTTTATCCCGTGGGCAGCCTGCCGGGCGCTGCCTCTTGAACAAAAGGTCCTCCCAGGCCTCTGGCTCCTCACAACCACAGGATAATCGCTGTCCTGGGGCCCTGAGGCGGGTGCAGAAGCGCAGTCTGTACCCGCCCCCCCATCAGTGGGGAGCCAGCATTACTGCCCCGCACAAGCACAACCGAGGGGAAGGCCCCAGGTGAGCCCCATGCTGCCCAGAGGGGCCAGGCAGCACCCCCAGGTCAGGCGATGCCCGCGGTCACTCTCACACCCGGGCCCTTTCTCTCAAAGGGCTCCCTTCAAGTACTTTTTAAAAGGGAGCTGAGCCCAGCTGGCGTGGCTCAGTGGTTGAGTGTCGACCTATGAACCAGGAGGTCAGGGTTCGATTCCCGGTCAGGGCACATGCCCGGGTGGTGGGGTCGAGCCCCACCATGGGGTGTACAGGAGGCAGGCGATCGATGATTCTCATCATTGATGTTTCTTTCTCTCCCTCCCTCTCTGAAAGCAATAAAAATATATTTTTTAAAAAGTGACTTGATTTAGAACTGAAAATGTAATCTGAAAGTGAACCTAACAGGAATTAAGATGCATGGTCTGTGTCAGAGTCGGGACGAGCAGCTCTGGCCGCCAGCCGCCTTTCCCCAGGCCGGGCGTGCGGACTGCGTTCTCAGGGCTGTTTAAGCAACGTGCGCTCACGTGATGCCCTCGTTCTTGATCGTACGGCTCGGAAGTCCTGTCCCATGCACGGTTCTCGGCCAGCGGAAACAGACAGTCCCCTGTTTTTTTATTTTTATTTTTTAAAATATATTTTTATTGATTTCAGAGAGGAAGGGAGAGGGAGAGAGAAACATCAATGATGAGAGAGAATCATTGACCTGCTGCCTCTTACACGTCCCCCACTGGGGATGGAGCCTGCACTCAGGCACGTGCCCTGACCAGGAATGGAACCGTGACCCCTGGTTCATAGGTCGATGCTCAACCACTGAGCCACACTGGCTGGGCAGTCCTGGCTTAGGTAAGAGTGCTGCCACAGAACTTCCCCAAACTCCATGTGGTGGAAGAAAATGTCAGATTCACTTGCAGAAGGCAGATCCCAGGAAATATGAGGTAGAGGCTGTTTTATTAAGAGACTAGAAAAGCCTTGACCAGTTTGGCTCAGTGGATAGAGCGTCAGCCTGCGGACTGAAGGGTCCCAGGTTGGATTCCGGTTGAGGGCATGTACCTTGGTTGCGGGCACATCCCCAGTGGGGGGTGTGCAGGAGGCAGCTGATCGATATTTCTCTCTCATCGATGTTTCTTCTGTCCCTCTCCCTTCTTCTCTGTAAAAATAATATATATATATATTTTAAAAAAGAGACTAGAATAAAAATGATCTAAAAGTTCTCCTGACCCCTGACTCCCAGCTTGATTATGTCTCAGTAATCTCCAGGGAGCGTTTGCCCGATATTTAAAGCTCTCGGTAAGGGAATTCCAAATCTCCGTGGAGACTTCATCTAAGACTTTTCTCCAAGCAGTTTAAACCCTTCGCAGTCCCACAGACCTAAGTGCAACCCTTTTCCCTCCACATGAAAACCTCCTACCTGCTTAGAAAATGGATTCCTTTGCAAGTATTGCTTCATCCTACCTGTCTCGCCAAACTTGGCCTGACGTGTGGTTTGGTGCGTGTATGCTGGGGGTGAGGGTGGGCAAGAGTCTTTGCATAAGAGCTGCACCATATGCCACTGACCTGGGGGAAGGGCCGCACCGCCGGGCGTGACCACACATCATGGCGAAGCCAGCCCCGTCTCCTGGTTCTGGTGATGGAGAAATGGCTGTTCATTCCTCAGCAAGCACCACGCACCTACTTGCCAGGCACTGTGCCAGGTCTGAGGACGTCTTAGAACAGCGATGGCGAACCTATGACACGCGTGTCAGAGGTGACACCCGAACTCATTTTTTTGGTTGATTTTTCTTTGGTAAATGGCATTTAAATATATAAAGTAAATATCAAAAATATAAGTCTTTGTTTTACTATGGTTGCAAAGATCAAAAAATTTCTATATGTGACACGGCACCAGAGTTAAGTTAGGGATTTTCAAAATGCTGACACGCCGAGCTCAAAAGGTTCCCATCACTGACTTAGAAGACGTAGATGGAGCTAAATTCTAGCAGGAAGAAGCAGATAAGCAGACTAACTGAATAAAACATTTATTCTGGTAGGCAGTCGTAAGCCTAGGGGAGAAACCAAGCAGAGAGGGGGGGATGGGGAATTTTCAGAGACAGAGAGACTAGCCGAAGTGCGACCTTGTGATGTGATTCAGGCCTGAAGGAGAGGAAGCAGAGTCGTGGGTGCTGATACCGGGAGGCAGCAGGGTCAGCAGGTGCAAAGGTCCTGGGGCACCAGGATGCCTGGTGAGATCATAGCAGGGAAGAGGCCAGCGCAGCCGGATCAGAGGGACAGGGAGCCCTGGCCAGGCGGCTCAGGGGCTGGAGTGCCATCTGTACACCAAAGGCTGTGGGTTCTCGGGGTTCACACGGGAAGCAGCCTTCGTTGAAAAAAATCTCTGAGCTCTTTGTTTTCAGGACATCACTCAACCACGTGCTGAACTTTCTCATTTCTAAGCTTCCGTTCTTCCGATGATTTTGAAACTAAACAGGTGGGAGAACGACCTGACAGGAAGGTTTTGTCTCTCATCTGGTGCTGTGGGTACCCTGATGTGTGTGCACTCGTGTGGCCCTTAGTCCTCCCAGAG